TGTTGTGCCGGCGTCTCCAGGCCAGTTGCTGATGTTGTGAGTATTGTTGTGCCAGCCTCTCTAGGTCGCCTGCTGATATTGTGAGTATTGTTGTGCCAACCTCTCTAGGTCGCTTGCTAATGTTGTGAGTATTATTGTGCCGGCTCTCCAGGCCACCTTCTAAATGCTGAGTATTATTGTGCTGGCCTCTCCAGGCTTCTTGCTAAATGCTGAGTATTATTATGGCAGCCTCTCCAGGCTGCCTGCTGAATGCGGAGTATTATTATGGCAGCTGAGTATTATTATGGCGGCCTCTCTAGGCTGCCTGCTGAATGCTGAGTATTATTATGTCTGGCTTCTCCAGGTTGGCTGCTGATGGTGAGTATTATTATGCCTGGCCTCTCCAGGCTGGTTGTTGATGGTGAGTATTGTTATGCCGGCCTCTCCAGGCTGGCTGTTGATATTGTGATTTGATTTTCGCTGTTATTTGGCGAGGACGTTTGATGAAGACGAGGATTGCTGGTAGGTGGTGCCCTTTTGCTAGTGGGCAAAGGAGTAGATGAGTGATAGGGATTCTGGTGCTGCCCTTCTCATGTGAGTATTGTGATGCCTCTCCGGGCGTCTTCTTGTGGTAGGTTTTTTCTAAATTTCATTTTTGTTTAGCTTCGGCTCTTTCATGTTTGAAACTTGCCTTTTTCTACTATTTTTCTAAATGCTTCGGCTTTTTCAACATTTACGAAGCTTGCCTTCTTCTCATGTTGTTTCTTTTGGTCTTTATTGTCATCATTGGTGGAGGGATCTATTCCCATGATGTTATTTGCTGAATCTTTATTAATGAGTATTATTTTGGAAGCCACTCCTGACTTTGGTTACGGAGCCATTTCTGGTCTTGGCATTCTCTTGGATCATCCTTCATTTGGTTGAGAAGTGAGGCGCGATGGCCTCTTTCTGCTTAAAGGCTTGCTTATTTGGTCGATTCCATTATATTCCATTGTTGGTATGTCTTTGCTTGTGGGCACATAGAATCACTTGGGGTTGTCGTTTGACACCGCTTCGGCTCATGCTTGGCTATTTAGCTTTTACGAGTGCCTTGTCTTGATGACTCTTTCTAACCCATAGCATGTAGAATTTATGGATGCATGGATGCAATGAAAATGCAAGACAAGAATGATTTTATTATTTATTCCCTTGTTTTTTGTGTAACACCCTTCTATATGCCCCTACCTCATATGCATGCGATGCAATTTATGCTCATGTGTTTGTTCCTAAACATGGAATTCAATTCTTTTAAATGTCGGGAAATTAACCTGTACACGTTAAGGTTAATGTTGACGATTCCTTTTTATCCATTCTATTTGTGATTATTGTCGGGATATGTTCTTTTGAACTCAAGGTTTTAGTGGCTCCTCAATTATCAGTGTGTAGTCAAACGTCTACAAACTCCATTCGGGGACGTCTCAACCTTTCCTCTGCGAGTATTCACTGTGCATTTTCCATGTATCTTTTTGGTACCGTTTTAATGCCATAAGGGTTAAGAGAAAAAACAAAAGGGATGTTTGTATTTTTTCAAAAAGGTTTTTTTTAGAAGAACGGCTAGTTGAGGTAGGCTTTGTCTAGGCTGATGAAAAAACATATTTAAAATGAGGAAATCATTTTTTGCGTTGGCTGAATTTGATTGATCTTTATGTGTTCCTTATCGCATATTAAGCCATTGTTTCTAATGACGTCCTTATTTCAAATGTACTTTTTCATTTAGGGTTCGTTGACGAGGCTTAGAGGGAATATTCAAAGGGAGAAGAGAAATGAAAGAATGTTATGACATTTAAAATAGTACTTTCAATTTACATGTGCCCCTTTAGCAAAGCTCGAAGGCTCGGGCGTGCCCCTAGTTCGTGATTCGTACACAAAGAGATAGACAGAGGTTGCCCCCTAGAGAGTTATGGTTGATGATTGGTCAGATTACTTTAGGAACAGATTCCCACTTACTTGAACGTCGGTGTTTTGAATTTGGAGTGAAACCTTTATAGATTATTGCTTCTCAAAGGGAAAGTTGAGCTGCCTTTCAGTTTTTAACTCGAGCAGGCGTTGTTTTTTTATTTTTATGTATCCCTAACTTTTGCACAGGACATATTCTATCGGGATTTTGATTCTTTCTTATTTGCCCTAATTTTTGCCTAGAACGCCCCATGTGGGTTTTCGTCTTAGCGGGTCCTCATCATGCAATGCCTTTATTCTTCAATTGGGCTTTGTCTTGTAATTCCCTAGAAGCAAGGATTCGTTCGTTCTTGATCACTTCCTCCTATACTGACAACATTTAATGAGTTCATTGCAGACGAACTCCCTAGTCCATGGCATTATCTTGTCCTTCCAAACGGGGAAGTCACAATGTTTGAATCGTCAATTTGGGCGTGTTATGCCCCCAATTACTGGTTTTAAGTTAAGTGTTTCCCGATTTGATGTGTCGGGTTCGTACTTAATTACCAATGATCTCATTATCCAGTTAACACGCACAAATTAGGTTTCCCTTTTTATTCTTATTTATTATTTACTCGGAAGGCGTCTTATTTATATGAAGCGTAAAATAGGATGCAAAGACACTTGACAAATTCAACGAATATCATTCTCATTTATTTTTGTTTAGAGAACATTCTTTGCATACTATTATATGTGCCTTCCGTCTCTAATGGATGCATGCTAATGTACTATCCTAGGAGATGCATGATATTTATTTTTTACCTAAATTTTATCATGTTTTTGACTAAGGGTTATGATGCATGATTTTTTTTGCTATATTTTTTTGTTTTTTTAATAAACTATCCTATATGATGCTTTAGGGTTAGGATATATAGAAGGGTGTTAGTTTTTTTACTGATATCCGTTTATTCGTCTATGATTCCTTTTTATTTGACATGAACAAAAAGAGAACACAACAAATGGAACACGCATATGCTCAAACAAATGTACACCCGTAGACAGTCACGTTCAAATCCTTGGTCTGTGGTCCCTGTAAGAAAAGTGAGTTGTATAGGACAATTCTAATTTCACTTGTCTTAAGGCCCCCAAGGTGCCCCCATTATAGGGACCCAGTATCTCTATCGCCGTCACTTGGCAAACTCTAAGGTCTGTGGCAGTATTTCGGGCTAGAGTAACCAATTATCACCTTGAGTGTGATTTCTGACAAGGCTCACAGGCTTCAAGGCCAAACTTAGGCCGGTCGTACGTCAACCACTCTCTATGTTTAATACCCTCATGCCCCCGGGTGTAGGGGGAACTGTTGTGTGCAAAGGTTTGTGTACAGTTTTTATTCAAACAAATGCAAAATTTAAATAGACAAACAAATATTAAAGCCAAACAAATAAAACAAACAAAGTAAAGGGGAAAAATATTTAAATTATTATTCTTATTTTATTAACTTCATCATTTATTTGGGCCTGACCCTCTTAAAACTTCCCCAGTGGAGTCGCCATCTGTCAAAACCCGAATATTTCCGATCTTGCGACCTATGGTTTAGACATCCATTTGAAGATCTCATCAATTAAGGAATGCCCAAACACCAAACTAATCCTTAATTAATGGTTTTGAAAAATGGTTCATGGAGTCGCCACCAATATTTTACTCAAAACAACGGAAAAAGAAGAGATTTTTAAAAGTCCAATAATGGCCTTGATAACCAAAATTGGGTTCGGGGGTCAGTTACGTGTAGGGGGGAAGGTATTAAGTACCCCTACAACACCCTTTATCGGTACCCTTATGATGAAGTTAGCATACGAAAAATAATAATATAAATACTTAATCCCCTTTATGAATGGTTATTTACATGCCTAAATTTAAATTAAGCGATTGACCCTAAAATGTCTACATATTTTCTTTTATTATACAATATTTAAAATAAATACAATAGGAGGAGAATGAGAGAGAAATACCTCGTAGCAAGTTTTATTAGATCTTCAACTATGGAGACTTTTAGGCGCTTTTTGGCTACCTTTCACACTACAATATGCCTCACAAAACTCAATAAATACAATAGGAGGAGAATGAGAGAGATTTCAAGCTCTAAGGAGTCTTGGACGAAATTTTGTGGCCCTGGAATCAATGACTGAGTCTGCTATTTATAGACATCAAAAAGTGGCCAGAACGGCCCGTTCCAAAATCGGAACGACCCGTTCCAAAATCGAAACGGCCCATTTTGGATCCGACCGTTATGTGTTAGTTTTGTAACTGGAACGACCCGTTCTTAACCTAGAATGACCCGTTCCAGAGATGAGTTTAACACATAACTGACTACGCTGCAACGACTGTTCAAAACAAGGGTTTCTAAGCCTTTTTAATAACTTAGAACGACCAATTTAGGAATGGCCCGTTCCAATTGTGATGTGAAAATGATGCATGATTGATAGAGTTAGGATATATTGAAATGCTTACAAATATTTCATTAGGTAATGAGTTATGATGAGATTATGTTATGGATTTTCCTTGTGTGCTTTATATATAGATGTTTTCTTTTCTCACCGTACAATTTGTGGATGTTTTAGGTGAGGAAGATCCGATTATGAGTGGCATCTAGAATGTCAACAGTTGAATAGTGGGTATGATCTGATATTGTGACATCGGGGTACAGGATTTCTAGGACATGGATTTTTATATGGATTTGGAGTTGTATTTATTATTTTGAAAACAATTTGTAAATTTTTAGGTTTTATTTTCAATTATTTTGGATATTGAAGAAAAATTATGAAGATTTTATGTGAACCCTTTTTACCAATGTTGAAAAATTTATTCGTTAGTTTTAATTACATTATTACAATACACGTGCTAGGGTAGTAAGGGTGTCACATTTAGTGGTATCAGAGCAGGTCGATCCAATCGACTGTGAGTTATGAGTCTATTATGCTTGTTTGGTAGATGAATGATGGAATGAATTGATTGTGGAACTTATTGATATGCTAGTGTGATGATTGATTAATTTTGTTTTTTATTTAATTATAGTATAATTGTTAACTTTTCTAGGGATCAGAAGAGTAATGGCAGGAGGTAGGAATGATTGTGCAATCGCTGATGCTCTACAAGCGATGGCTCAGGCTCTTAGTACTTTGAACCAAAGACTAGAGGTAGATTGGCTGGAGAGATTCTAGCGAAATAATCCACCAAGCTTCCATGGGGGTTATAATCCTAATGGAGCTGCTGACTGGATTTTTGAGGTTGAAAAGATATTCCAAGCTTTGGGATGTCCTTTGGTGCAGAAGGTGACTTTGGATGCCTTCATGCTTTCTAGAGAGGCTGGGGTTTGGTGGCAAGGTGCTTTGCAAAGAATGATGGCTGCAGGTACCCAAGTGAATTGGAAGAATTTGAAGCGGCTATTCTTAGAGAAATACTTTCCATGAGATGTGAGACATAGGAAACAGGTGGAATTCCTTGAGTTGAAGCAAGGAGAGGACTCTGTGGTTGAGTATGTGACTAAGTTTGAAGACCTGGTTAGATTCTGTCCCATGTATAATGGTGTGGGTAATGAAGAGGACAAGTGGGTGAAGTTTGTGAGTGGTCTTTGCCCTGAGATCAAACAAGTTTTCAATTACCAAAGGATCACTCAATATCATGAATTGGTAAAAAAGTGCCGAGTCTATGATGAAGAAACCGTGCTAGAGTAACTCATTATAAGAGTGGAGGACCCATGAGGAATCATAATAAGTTTGGGTCATCTAGTAAGGGTAACCCTTACACCAAGTTGGTTGGGGATTCAATTTCTAAAGTGAATAACCAAGGTTCTGTGAAACATAGGAGCCAAGCTCCAATGGCTAGCCAAACTTCTAGAGGGGGGAGTGTGGGTTCTGTTCCACACATCAACTGCTTCAACTGTGGGAAGCCAGGTTATAGGGAAATTGAGTGTCGGATTCCAAGAATAATAACATGTTTCAATTGTCAAGAGAAGGGACACAAAGCTAATGAATGCCCCAAGAACAAGAAAAGAAAAATAGAGGTTGGCGGGAGTGCTAGCAAACCTAGGGCGACAGGAAGAGTGTTTTCCTTGAGTGGTGCTGAAACTACTCAATCCGAAGACTTAATACAGGGTATGTGTTTCATCAATGGAACTCCTCTAATTGTTTTGTATGACTCTGGTGCGACTCACTCTTTCATATCACATCCGTGTGTGTCCAAATTAAAATTACCTGTTTCTTCCTTGTCTTTTGAATTAATAGTAGAGACACCAACTAGTGGTTTAGTTTCTACTTCTAATGTCTGTTTAAAGTGTCCTTTGAGTATTGATGGTAGAAATTTCATGGTTGACTTAATTTGTTTGCCTCTAAGTCAGGTAGATGTTATTCTGGGTATGGACTGGTTATCTTCCAATCATGTCCTTTTGAATTGAGCTGATAAATCTATTGTTTTTGGCGAACCTATTGAAAAGGTGAGAAAGGAATATTTAACTACCAACCAAGTTAAGGTATCTTTGCAAGAGGATGCCCAAGTGTACATGTTGTTAGCTTCTTTGAATTCTGAGAGTAATGTTTTGGTGAATGAACTGCCTGTTGTGTGTGACTTTTCAGATGTCTTCTCTGATGATATGTCTAACTTACCACCTACAAGAGAAGTATAGTTATCCATAGACTTAGTACCAAGATCAGGACCTATTTCTATTGCACCTTATAGGATGTCACTCGTAGAGTTAGTGGAGCTTAAGAAACAAATAGAAGACTTGTTGGAGAAGGGGTTTGTGAGGCCTAGTGTATCACCTTGGGGAACACCTGTACTCTTAGTTAAGAAGAAGGATGGTAGCATGAGATTGTGTGTAGATTACCGCCAATTAAATAAGGTAACTATCAAGAATAATTATCCATTGCCTAGGATAGATGACCTTATGGACTAGTTAGTCGGTGTTTGTGTATTTAGTAAAATTGACCTTAGATCGGGGTACCATCAGACTAGAGTTAAGGGTGAGGATGTACCCAAGACAACATTTAGGACTTGATATGGACATTATGAGTATCTAGTAATGCCTTTTGGTGTGACGAATGCTCTTGCAATTTTTATGGATTACATGAATCGAATTTTTCATCCGTACTTGGATAAATTTGTAGTTGTCTTCATAGATGACATACTAGTTTATTCCAAGTTGTCTAAGTGTAACTTTTGGCTATAGGAGGTGAGTTTCTTAGGATATGTGATTTCCAGTGGGGGTATAATAGTAGATCCATCTAAAGTTGAGGCGATGCTTAAATGGGAGGCACCCAAGTCAGTTAGTGAGATTAAGAGCTTCCTTGGATTGGCTGGGGACTATAGAAGCTTCATAGAGGGATTCTCTAAGTTAGAATTACCCTTGACAAGTTTAACTAGGAAAGGAGTTGTGTTTGTGTGGGATAGTAAATATGAGAATAGTTTCCAAGCCCTTAAGGAGAAGTTGTCTAGTGCACCTGTTTTAGTGTTGCCTGACCTTAGTAAGACTTTTGTGGTTTATTGTGATGCTTCTAAGATGGGTTTGGGTGGAGTGTTAATGCAAGAAGGAAAGGTTGTATCTTATGCATCTAAACAATTGAAAATACATGAAAAGAATTACCCTACCCATGATCTTGAATTAGCAGCTGTGGTATTCACACTTAAGATTTGGTGACATTATTTGTATGGTTCAAAATTTGAGGTGTTTAGTGATCATAAGAGTCTTAGGTATTTATTTGACCAAAAGGAATTAAATATGAGGCAGAGGAGATGGTTAGAGTTCCTTAAGGACTATGATTTTGATCTTAGTTATCATCCGGGCAAAGCCAATGTGGTGGCTGATGCTTTAAGTAAGAAATCTTTGCATTTGTCTTCTCTTATGATTAGGGAGATGGACCATTTGGCTTAATTTAGAAACTTGAGTTTGACTTGTGAGGCGACCCCTAGTAGTTTGAGACTAGGTATGACTCGGGTGACTAGTGATTTGTTGAGGGAAATTGGAGAAGCACAGTTAGTGGATTCATTTTTAGTGGCTAGACGTGATGCTATAGGACAAGGTATTGAAGGAGAATTTACTTTGGGTGTAGATAGAATGTTAAGATTTAGAGACCGAGTGTATGTGCCTAGTGACCCTACACTTAGACGGTTGATCCTAGAGGAAGGTCATAGGAGCAAGCTTAGTTTTCACCCAAGAGCGACTAAGATGTATCAAGACCTTAGGAAGGTATTTTGGTGGCCTAGGATGAAGAAAGACATAGCTGAATTTGTGAGTGCCTGTTTAGTGTGTCAGAAGGCTAAGATAGAACATCAAAAACCTTCAGGATTACTTCAGCCTTTGAGTATACCCGAGTGGAAGTGGGATAGCATTTCTATGGACTTTGTAGTTGCTTTGCCTAGGACTATGAGAGGGCATGATTCCATTTGGGTTATAGTTGATAGGTTGACTAAGAGTGCACATTTCTTACCTATTAACATTAGGTATTCTCTAGAGAGATTGGCTAGACTGTATATTGATGAGATTGTGAGATTGCATGGGATACCACCCTAAATTCAGCTCTAGGTTTTGGGAGAGCCTACAATGAGCTTTCGGGACCTAACTTAGACTTAGTTCAGCTTACCACCCTCAAACTGACGGTCAGACTGAGAGAACTATCCAATCCTTAGAGGATTTGCTTAGAGCCTGTGTGTTGGACCAAGGAGGTAGTTGGGATAGTCTTTTACCTTTAATAGAGTTTACCTATAATAATAGTTACCACTCTAGTATAAGTATGGCACCTTATGAAGCCTTGTATGGTAGGAGGTGTAGGACCCCTTTATGTTGGTGTGAGCCGGGTGATAATGTTACCTTAGGACCTGAGATTGTGCAATAAACCACCGATAAGGTTAGGATGATACAAGAGAGGATGAGAGCAACTCAGAGTAGACAGAAAAGTTATGCTAACAGGAGGAGGAAGGACTTGGAATTTCAAGAAGGTGACCATGTGTTCTTGAAAGTCACTCCGTGGACTAAGGTTGGCAGGGCATTGAAATCCAGAAAACTTACTCCTCGATTTATTGGTCCTTTCCGAATTCTAAAAAGAGTCGGTAGAGTTCCCTACCAAATTGCTTTGCCTCCTAATGTGTCAAATCTTCATGATGTTTTCCATATCGCTCAACTTCAGAAATACATCCATGATCCTTCAATGTGATCGAGTCGGATCATCTTGAGGTTAAGCAGAACATGATAATGGAAACTAATTTGGTGAGAGTCGAGGATCGAATGGTGAAGCAACTTAGAGGTAAGGAAATTCCTTTGGTGAAGGTAACTTGGGGAGGAGCTACACCTGAAAGTGCTACTTGGGAGCTAGAGGAGAAGATGAAAGCGTCATATTCGTATTTATTTGCTTCAGGTAATTTCGGGGATGAAATTTCAAAAAGGAGGGGAGAATTGTAACACCCCAGTTTTCATACTTTTATTGAGGGTAATTTAGTAATTTTCATAAATTTATAAGGGTGATTTAGTAGCCCAGAATGGGCTGTTCCCAAATTGGAACGGGCCATTCCAAACTACTAAAACGAGGTTGATTTAGTAGCCTAGAACGGGCCGTTCCCAAACTGGAACGGACCGTTCCAAACTACTAAAAAGGCCTATAACCCTAGTTGGGAATGAGCCGTTCCAAACATGGCCGTTATGGATTAAAATGCAACTCCAGAATGGGTCGTTCTGGTATGAGAATGGGCTATTTTGGATGTGAATTTTACACATAACCTAAGAGTCCAGAACAGGCCGTTTCAGATCTGAAACGGGCCATTCTGGCGACGCCTGATGCCTATAAATAGAGCGTTCTGGCACTCCCAAAAGCACACTTTTCACTTCTGACTTCTTTTCGTCTACACTCTTTTCTTTTCTTAAACACTCTCTGAAGATTGAGGGGAACCCAGAGGAGGAGTCCAACCAAATCTTGCTCTAGTTTCAGCTACTGCTTATCGAGGTACGGGGGAAAATGGGAGATTTATGTGTAGAGTCACATGAGGGAATGGGTGGAGAAGAGTTCCTGTGGAATTTTTTAATAATTTTATAATTGTTTCCGTTTGGAGAATTATTGGTATTATAAGATTCTGTATGTGTTAAGGATTATGAATATATAATTAATTTGTAAAAATGATGATCTGGGAGGGAGAACGAAATTGTAGAAAAGTGCTTGTGAGTTAGGTTTTGGAAAAATTGGGGGTTTTACTATTTGATTTAATATTCTATTAAATTGGTGAATCAATTGGGATTTATATTAATTTATAAATGTTATTGTTATATTATATGATAACAATTGATGATCTAGATGTGGATTCATGGTGAATTGCTTGAGGGATATTTGAACCATTTTTTTGTGTGGACTTATCTATATTGTGTATGTGATGCGGAATTGACTTATGGACTGTGGTGTGATGTCTTGGTACAAATGTGTACATATTGTATCTACTGTTTTAGTATTGAATTGATAGCATGATGTGGTGAATGGTATGTTATGGCTTAATTGTTCAATTAATTATGATGTGAGATGTTGTATTGAATGTGAGTGTGATGTGATTGTGGTTCCTCACAATAATGACCAGGGATGGCACGACCCTTGGGTAAGTGATGCTACAAGGACGTCGTGAGCTTGGCATAGTGTGGGATGTGTGAGACAATTAACACGTACCACTTATGTCAGATGTGGCGTAGCCTTGGCATAGTGTTAAT